CTCGCGCTATACGCGTTAGCTAGCCTGACTTTCGACTGCTGTGAAGAAGAAGCGAGAATAAGAAGCCCGGAGAGTTGTAGAAGAAAAAGGAAAAGTTTCTGCGCAAGAAACAGCAGAAGCAGAAGAGTCGTAATCGTGTCCGCACGCTCGAGCCTCGGGATATAAAATATCTCCTCGCTCCCTCCCCCGCGTGCACTACTGGACTCTCTCTACATACTTTTAGGTATAGGTATAGCTCGTTCTCGAGGTTCTCGTCAAGGAGCTTTTGCTCGCCGCTGCGTAAGTAAGAGCGATACCTTTGAATTTGTGCATACATAAAGACCTACCTGTGCCGATGGCCTCTTCACTGTGAGGGAATGCACCCGCGTTTGTATTTGGATACGATGCATTTTTTTTATTTTATTTTTTTTTTCCAGGGCGACAAACGAGGAATCGCATTACTACTAGGTGTTTATATAAACGTTGTACATGTACTGCGCAGGTAGGTGCCATATACGACATATATATACACAGTATCGAATTTAACGAGACGAAGTCAAACAAAAGGGGAAAAATATATACGTGGGCGCAGCGTATACGCTCGCTAATTGATCTCAAATTATTCAGCGTTATATATAATATGCTGCCGCTGCTGCTACGACATCAACATTCATCAGGGCTCGCGCGAGCTTTGCTGCGTTCGCGCAAAAAACTGACGCGCAATATATCTATATACTCGTTTGCGCAGCGAATAAATAAATATGCACTCTCTCACTCCAACGTGTATATAAAAAAAAAAGAGCGAGAGAGAGAGGGTAGATAGGGGGTGTGAGAGCGAGTGAGAGAAATTTAATTAAAACTAGAGACGACGCTGACGACGACTACACATATTTTAAAATGCATCGGTGAAATATACCGCGCGTGCCCGAGTGTGAGTGCGCACTGCATAGAGAGGAAAGGGTAGCAGTAGCAGCAGCAGTAGGTATAGAAGCTAACGAAATGCATTAACTCTCGGGAGAGGATAAAAGTGCCGCTCTCTCGCGCTCGCTCGCTGCTGGTGCCAGTAGTACTGCATTCAATGTATCGGATGTGAAAATTCATTTTATATGCAGTAGCTGCTGCCGCAGCCGCGCACACCATGCCCCTCCCGCAACTTTAATGCGCTACTACATGTGTGCGAGTGAGAGAGAAATACATATCATGTAGAAATACAAATACATAGCAGCGGTAGCAGCGGTAGCAGTGCAGAGAGCTGCTCGACACATAACTGGTGTTGTACGTATAGGGTGCACAGACGGCGCGCCCCAGTTGAAAAGTAATTAGCTCGTTAGCGCGTATATACACGCGCACTGGTGTTACACGTTATATATTATTATATATGCTATACCCTTTTCGCGCGCGCGTAATCGTGTAACAGACGCGAGCGCTCCGATATCTATAGGTACGATGTAGCTATATAGGCCTGGTATGCGGCATACGCGCGCGGCGACAACACGTATAACGACGACGCGACGCAATCTGTGCCGCGCTGCCGCCTATAACTACGTCATAGCAAACATGGGAATCGTTAAAGTACTTCTCTCTCTCTCCCGATAGGCTGCATATATGCAGGCACGATCGTCGCAATTTAGCGCTCGGGCACGGAAATACGACCGAGCGAATGAGTGAGTGAAGTGAGAGAGAGACAGAGAGAAAGAGATCGCCATGCACACATGCCATGGTCACATGCGGGCCAATTGCTTAGAGCTCGCGTGCGCGGACAAGCGTTGCAGCGCCAGGTGAGAGTCATTAATCGACGTTTTCATCTTCTATTTACGCTTTTTCAACGGCTACGCTGTAGCGGGTATGTAGGCTGGTCGATCAGGATGAGCAGCAGCATCTGTACTCGCACTCACACCCGCGAGCGAGCCCTGGCAAATGTAGTTATCGCCACACGCTAGCTAGTGTGTAACTCGGCTGGACCTGCTCCATATATATATACATCTATGTACTCTCGTTGTAGGGCAGCTGCGAACGAAGCAGAGAACGAGAGAGAAAGAGAGAGAACACAACGTGATCAATGAGAGCTAGTAGCGTAGAGCATCCGTGCGTGGTATACCCTGTATATATACGCTTACAGGTAGTCGCGCTACTGACGCGTATCCTCTCCCTCGTAGCCCCCCTACCCTACCCAAACTCTTGCCCCCGCGCGCGCGTCCACGTCGTTGTTTTTGATTAACTTGGCCCTGTTTATTCGGGTCAGTGGAGGCAAGCGCGCAGCCGGAAGTGCAGTAACAGCAGCAGCAGCACCAGCTCGTTGCAACTGTAGCAACCCTGTACCAGCTCGATGAGTTTAAAAAAAAAAAAAAAAAGAAAACAACCAGCAGACTGCGCGATATATATACTGGGATACAAATTGAATTCAGTACTGCGTTAAATTGGAAAAAAAGCACCGGAGTGTATGCTATACACGTGTAAAATTCGACAATCCTGTACTGCACTGCATATAGCAGTATACGGGCTGGGGGAAGTGATACACACGTATCGCGCGCGCGCGAGAGTATGTATTTTTCTATTTACTCTCGACTATTTCTCGCTCTCTTTCTTACAGCTGCTATCCACGTCGCAAGGGTAAGCTTTCCGGGGGAATTTTTTCGTCAAGAAGGAAAATAAGACGACGACGACGACGACGAAGAACGAAGAAGAAGCGACTGCGATTACACCGTCGACGACGACGACGACGACGATAAAGGGAATGGAAAGAAGAAACGTCACGGCTGTGTGTACGTATATACATTGCACCATCCACGCGCAGCAGCCGAGTGTCTGGGAAAATGCAGCAGCAGGCGGATTTGCGCAGTCTCATGAATAGGCAGAAGAGAGAAAAAGAGAGAGAGAGCCTGGTAATCGCGAGCGAGCGCCCAGCAAGCGTACAACTTTTTTTTCTCTCTCTCTCTGTGCAGTGCAGACTCGGCGAGAGGGATGGGCGCGCAGCACGAGCTTTCAAAAGGAGAGAGAGAGCTGGATGGGTGGCTGGGTTCACAGAGAGATGCATATATATCATCGTCATTATTGTGATGTATGTGTGTGTGTGTGTGTGTGTGTGTGTGTGTATGTGCGTATGTACCGCTAGGCTGGCTGCATCACACGCGGCGTATATTTCGAAAAGTATACTCTCTGTACACCGTATATGCGCTCTGCACTCGTCGTCGTCGTCGTCGTCTCTGTGTATACTCGCACATAGTCACGTATATATGCCGGTCTGACATACACGCGCGGAGGAAAGCTGCACGTAATTAATCTTTCAGGCGGCGTTTAAAGATTTCTTTTCCGTCTCTCTTTCTCTCGTGCATCCTTGCAGCTATATCGTGCTATCTCTTTTCAGCAGCTATATCAAAAATGCTGTCGTATACGCATCGTTTTCTGCCGTACTGCAATTTTTAAGAATCTCTCCTCTTTCTTTTCATTGCTCTCTCTCAGCTCTTCTGTATAACGGCGAAATTCCTCGATACGATTGACAGCTTCTCGCTCTATTGCTGTATACCTATAAGCTCGCTCGCGCGCTTGCATGCCACGAGGCGAATGATTTTTCTAACAGCGCGTCTCGCATAACTCGGATGGGATTCCAGGCGCTCTTTTGCACCCCGACTCTCTCTCTCTCTCTCTCTCTCTCTCTCTTGTGAACTTCCACCAGTAACGGGGGCTAGTTATTCGTGCCTCGTATATACGAGCGATTGAATAGCTGCGAATTCTTGACGTCTGTTATACACGTCGTATTATATACAAACGGGTGCAAGCTCGGATTTCGCAAAGTCCGCCTCGAGCTTTGCACTCTCCCATAGTTCTCCTTGCTCCACAGATTCTGAACAATATGTTCACTGTTTACGAGTATAGTGTGTATGAATGCGGCCAATTAGAATTCATATTTACCAACGATACACAAGCGCACGGCGAGCATCTCTCATCCGATCGAGTCGAGAGAGAGAGAGAGAGAGAAAGAGAGAGAAAATATTATTATGCATGTGGAACACGTCGTCGTGAGCTTTGCCTTTCGGGACGCGCGCGCGAGATCGAGTTTTTCCTTCCTTGCGCGTCCGTGGGCGCCGGGGGAGAGAGCTTTCAGAGACTTTGCTCTCTCTCTGTCGCGCGCGCTCGAATATCTCTTCGAAAATATCGATAGAGGGAAGGTGGAGAGAAGCGCGCGCGAGAGAGAACATGTGCATGTGTCAAGAAGCGCATAGTTACACGTACCTACATCCTCCTATATACAGCAGGATATTATACATAGGTATATGCAGGAGGCATGGCAGGCAGACAGGCGGCAGAGAGTGAGAGAGAGAGAGAGAGAGCCTGGCAACACGGCATCTGATTTTATAGCTCTAGGCAGCATTGTAAACTTGGAATAGTCGATCAGATAAATATTTGCATGCGGTGAAAGCTCGTCCGAGACTACTATATATGCGACGAAAAGTTTGCCCTCTCACGTGTGCGTATGTATCTGTGGGTATGTGTGTCTGTGTACGTACGTAAACCGTACGTAGGTACGTCGGAAGCTGCTTTCACAGGCAGCTCGCGTTTCTCTCTCTTTCTCTCGCTCTCTCTACTTGCAGGCATAGTTTCCTCCTCCTCCTCCTCTACCCTATGTAGGTAAACGTAAACGCGCGTGCTGTATATGGTATAGATGTGTGAGAGATGCGAGAGAGAGAGAGAGAGCTTGCACATTGGGTTATGTGCATACTCTCGAGTGTGCCACTCACTCTCCCTACCCCCTACCCTCTCTCTCTTTCATCGATGCGCTACGTGTGAACGTGCACGAATATTGTACATGTATACACACTACGACGACTATCGAACTTTGACGCGGTTTCTCGCGCTCGCGTGTGCGGTCTTCACTCACGAGAGTTCGACGTGTGTCTAACTCGAGTAAATGCACGATACGTCTTCTATCGTATAATCACGCACGTAAATTATTATCAAGATGTATTACAACGTGTACGCAATGCGATGTCTTAATTAATACAATAATAATAACAATACGTTACCAGTTGCGAGGAGGGTCGTGTGGCCGTTGGTCAGCATGATGCTTCTCTCTTATCTCGGCTTGTCTCGAGCTTATCAATCTCCTTCAGCGCCTCTAACTGACGCGCTGATGGTCCTCTTGCTACAAAGACGGCTGGCAGCACCACGCGCAGCCGTCGGCACATCGAGGTCTCTCGTGCTTCGACTGCGCTACACGATCCTCTCTATAGCCAGCTGCTTCTGCTTCTCTTACACTTTATCAATTACATCTTGTTTTTTCTTTTACCTTTCTTCATACTGCACTCGGAAACGACATTATTCTACTCTCCCTCCGTCCGAACGAGGTCGAGAGAGAGAGAGAGAGGAACGAAAAAACAAACAGAAACAACAACAATAACAACAAGCACACACTGTTTCTATACGTATATGTATGTATAAGGAGTAGTCTTGGTGCACTGTAATATCCCTGCTGCTCTACTATCTCGTGTATACGTGTATAAAGGGGGTGGCAAAAGCACCGTGTGCCGCCGGCTCCGCAACTGAAAACTGAGCTCCAGAGCTCCGCAGCAGCACAGCCAACGCCGCCGCCGCCGCCGCCGTTGCTTTATCGGCTCGATGCTCGCGCACGCGTCCCACGATCCGCCGCTGCGCGTATAATACTATAGCCCACGCTACACACCCCCGGACAGGTGCAACGAACGAACGTTCGTATACCTCCGGGCTCTCTCCTCTCTCGCTCTGGCTCTCTCTCACTTTGCCATCTCTCTAAAGCTCTGAGGCTGCTGCTGCTGCTGCTGCTGCTGCTGTGACTCTCCTTTCTCGGCTTGGCAGTTATAGCTTCTTTATTCTATATAGAAGCGGGTCTCTTTCTCTCTCTCTCTCTCACGGAGATAGGGTAGTGCATGTATACTCACACAGAGGTGCATGCAGGTAGTCCAGCAACAGTTAGTGACTCTCTCTCACTCCAACTTGTATAGTAGTAGTGGTAGCAGCAGCGGCTCTAGTAGTACTACTACTAGCTAGTAGTAGTATAGTCTACTTCCACCTGCAACGGCTCTCCGCATCCACCTTATAGACCCTCGCCTCGCGTGGCTATATCTCTATCTCTCGCATTTTTCAATGAAACTTTTAATAAATCCAGTGGAAAACTTTTGATTTCATCCGAGCTTCCCATCGTTTTCTCGATTTCTCTCTTCTTCTACCACAAGCTAATCCCCTGTGCGCACACGATGCGCATAGTTCTGCATGATTTTTCCACAACCGCCGCCTCGCCTCGCGCATACAACTCATGCGTTCGCGAATTAATAACGAACAAAAAAAAAAGAGAAAAAGAGAGGGGAGAAAAGGGGTATAAAGGAAAAGCAGGAAAAAAGTATTGCCACTAATTAAAATGGTTCGCCGCAACGAAGCGATGATACCTCTCTCGCATCAGTTGCCATGCTGTCTGTGACTTTGTCTGTTCGTGTGCCCCTTCTGCACTCAACTTATATATCATATCCTTACAGAAGTTCCATCGTACAGTTTTTTTTTCGAGGGAGTATAATGGCGAGCTTTCTCATCTCGCTCACGCACGCGATCATCGCTCCTATATATATCTACTCGGGCAACAATTAAAAGTAGCTTGGGTATATACGATACTATAAAAGGTTACAAGTACCGCAGTGATCGACGAGCTGCTCTGCAGAGCCTTGTGTATAGCCAACATTGGCACAATATTAATATATAGTTACCTTCTCGGCTCTCTGTCTTGCTCTTGCTCTCTCTCTCTCTCTCTCTCTGCAACCGTTTCTAGTGCAAACAAAGCAGTGGCGTACACAGCAACAACAGCAGCAGTAGCAGCAGCATCAGCAGTGGTCGACCTACTGCTAATACATACATACAGCTAGCTTATAGGTACCACTAGTATAGGTACTACTCGATGAGTGATCTTGGCTCAAGACGCTTATAAAGCCTACGTATAAAGCTCGAGCTAGGCCTAGGGTATACACAGCAGTAGCTATATAACGTATACATATCTCACGCCGGAGGCCACAATCAATTAGAATTTTTAATTATTCATCGTGTATGACAAACAAGTTGCGCGCTCACTCGCTCTCGCTCTCTCGAGAGGCCACTCGAGCAATTCCATTGAAAGCTGCTGCTGCGCTCTCGTGCGGCACTAGCGCTACAGTACAGTATGTGTATACGTGTACACATCAGGTATATGTACGCGTATATAAAACCACGAACGCTTTTGTGCGTATAATATAATCGTTTTTCAACTCGCGCAAACGGTGCAGACCGCTAATACTTACTTGCCTCTGTGAACGCGCATACGTATTGTTGAGTCTAACGATCCGGGCGAGAGTCGGTCGGGGCGCCAAAAGTTAACTCGCGCTAGCACACGGAAAAGGAAGCACCGTACGTCGTTGTTGCTGCTGCTGCATTTTAAGGACGCGCGCGAGAAAGATGAGAAAAGTTGGCGCTAAATATCGATTGACGCATACAAACTTATGCGCAGCTATGCAACGAGCTACAATGAACGAGCAGTAAGTATAGCTATATATAATGTAGCCACAAGTTGCTTTGCGCTCGCGAGGAAAAGCGAGGGAGTAATTAGAAAGAGCTCGTTTGGCAGGAGCCGATAGATATATCTAGGCGCGCGCGTATATCTACATCGACGTGTATTTAAGCAAGAAGAACATAACGGCCGGCGAACTTATACTACTGCAGCGCAGAGGAGCGTGGCTAGCTCTTCGATGGGGAATTGAGAAGAAGTGCTCCACTGCCACTGTATAATGTTGCGATGCTCCGGCAGTAACAAAATGTCACGATGAAACTACTATCTCTCTTTCTCTCTCTCTGCCTCCCTCACTCGTGCGTTGTACTCACTGCAACAACAGCACTGCTACTGCAGCAGCTCTAAAAGCGTTGCTAATGGGGCTATATACTCGAACCAAGCTTTCGTTCTCTCTTTCGCTCTCTCGTTGTGTATATAGGATAGGAAACACGCGCAGAGCGCACGGTATATATAGCGAGCGCGCGCGCGTTGACACACAGACATCCAAGCCTCGGCAAGAGAGAGAACGAAAGCTTCTACTGCTGCTGCATCGTTAAAACTCAACCCCAGGCGGAATCGGCCCCGGCACGTAGTATCATTCAGCAGTTCTATTCCTTCTGTCTCTTTTCGCGCAGCGAGTATAGTGAGCCAGCTTCCCTCCTGCCACTGCAGCACAGCGGCGACGGCGACGGCAGCTCATTGTTTTGAGCCAGGCTCGAGCGAAATATGTATATATACCTATCCTACCATCCATACCTACCGACGTCGTATAATATATAGAGCTGTGACGACGACGACTCGAGCAAAAATAATATTCGCGACCTCCCGCGTAGATGTACAAAGATACAGAGAAAAAGAGAGAGAAAGAATGAGAGACGATGATTAAATTGACCCTCGATGTATTGTAATAACCGTTTCATATTTAAGAGCGACCAGCAAGTCCAACACTTGTTCAGCTTTTCTTTTCCCTTTATTTTTTTCCTTTCTTCCGTTCTTTCTTTCTTTCTTTTCTTCTTTCCTTTTTTGGTACTTATAAATTCAAATTGACTGGTCTCCGTTTGCTTTTCGCCGGGCACATAGCTTTTGTCAAACGGTGAAATACGTATCGCTACCTCCACCCCCGTACCCGGACTTTACCTGAGGATTACTCTATATATACGTATACAGAGGAAAGCGCATGTACCGTTGCTGCTGCTGCACAGTAACATTTGCGCCGCCTCCACCACCACGCCGATGCTATAAGCAGAATGAAATTAAAGTGCTATTTAATTAGCGACTTTGCACAGCCCGAGTTTAAGCCCGCCGCCGTAGCCGCTGCTCGCTGCTGCATATACACACACGCTGGGGCTCTTTTCAAACTCTTTCTACCTTCCGTAATTAACATTGCGCGCGGAATGGAAAAGGACCGATGCGCGTCGCGCCGGCTTATGTACGTGTGCATATAATATAGAGCCATGGACGCGCAGTGTCGCATGAAATCTGCATATGCTGCTGCGAATGCGGCTTATGCATACACGCCCCCGATGTATGTGCGCGAACGTCGTGCATATTCACGTGCACGAGAAACCGAGTCTTTATATTAACGTACAAATGCATACATCGATATTGCGTCGAACCGAGATTCCATCTGCATTTGTGGATGACGGTGATGATTAATGTTAAGAACTGTGCGAGTACCTAATTTTTCCAACTTCAGTCGAGTCGTGCCCAAAATATTCGGGTATTCGATTTTTTCAATTTTAATTTACAGTATTAGGCTGTAAAAGTTGAAAAAATATTTTTCAAAAACACACGAACCCCATTTGAAAGTATTTTGACCAGTTACATACTCGAAAACCGTCAAGTACACTGATGGTGGGCCTAGCAATGCTATACCCACAATTCAACTCTCACCAACAATACAATATAGATAACAAAGCTTCCATATTTACAGCAGAATCATTAGCAATTCTCATGGCTATAGGATACATTCTATCCACTAACATCAAAGTGCACAGACTCTCTGAGCACTTTGACAGCCATTGACAACTACTCCCCTATAAAAAAAACAAACACCTCTTACATTATCCTGGATGTTATATGACTACTCTTCTTAGCAAAGAACAAGGGCATAAACATCAGGCTAATGTGGATTCCAACGCATGTCAAAATAACATACAATGAAGCAGTCGACACATTGGCATAGGAAGCAGCGGATAGAGGAACACAACTGTTATTTGATTTGCACCACACAAACCTGAATGAAGAAATTACAAAAATAGTGAACCAAGAAAACAAACAGCAACTTCTTAACGAAGCCACGTTTAAAGGTATTCACTTCTTCACAAATTACTACAAAGATACTAAAAATAAGCCATGGTTCGCCAAATCAATGTATGATAGATATCACATCCCCACAATCAACAGATTGAGAGCCAACCACCATTCACTAGTAGAAAGCCTGCACAGGAAAAATATAGTAGACTCACAGAACTGTCAATGCGGATTTGAAATACAAGACATTTGTTTTGTAAATTTTTTATTGGCATTTAATGATATATTATGCTGCCAGAACACTGTAGTCTTTGGCGCGAAATACGAAAATACAGATATTTTACATCTAAGATTAAAGCTTAATCTAGGTACAAAATATTTAAATAAATGAATCACAATATGATTTAGATAAAACGCTAGGTGAACAATATTATAATATTAAGGATAAATTATACATGATAAATTATAAACAGGTATATACTTATAAATTAAAGTGCGTATTTATAGAATTATAATCATATGTTTATGTCTATTTTGTTTATAAACGAAGAGAAAGCATATATCATATTTGGTTCATT